GCCACTTCAGCGCCTCTGTCTTTACAATCTCTCTTCAAAAAATCCCAGGACAAAATAACCTTTTTAAAGTGACAGCATCGTCACATGGGGATGCTAACTTTTGCATGAAATGGTATATCACAGTTCTGCCTTCCTGTTTAGATGGATGTATAAGATATTGTGGTGTTATACAGAAAAAAAGTAACAGATCTTCCAGAATTCAGCCCAACATCCGTCTTCAAGCCAATGCAATCAGGCTGCATTTTCCCAAAAAATTGAATAAGTGTCAATTTTCACCAAGGCTTTCTCTTTTTAAGCTCTACTGGGTCTTCTCACATAATTTTACAAAGTTCATGTTATTACAAATGCACTATGTCTCTATGGTGTCACTCTCACACTATTTAGTTCTCGCCAGCAGCAGTATTCACCACTGCCAAGACGTTCCAATTTTCCCATTGCCAGGACCTTCCGATTTTCCCACTGCCAAGACGTTCCAATTTTCCCACTGACAGGACCTACCAATTTTCCCACTGACAGGACCTTCCAATTTTCCCACTGACAGGACCTACCAATTTTCCCACTGACAGGACCTTCCGATTGTCCCACTGACAGGACCTTCCAATTTTCCCACTGACAGGACCTTCCGATTTTCCCACTGACAGGACCTTCCGATTGTCCCACTGACAGGACCTTCCAATTGTCCCACTATCAGTTGCCATATTTAAACGCCAGCCATGCACCAGGTCAATCACCGCCAGCTAGAAACTGCCTCACATAGTTGTAGTGTCGCAGGAATTGCCCCTGAGCTAGATGACGAGGTGCAAAGGACAGCTGTCCTATCTGCTGAAGACCACCAGAGGAGACCAGGCACCAGACTCTGCCAGCTCGGTCTTAAGTTATCAGCCGGTGACTGTAATATCCACACTTCGAGGGAACACTCATGCAGTGCAGGAAGAAAGTTAATGGCCTTCTGCAGTCCACAGATCACAAAATGATTATGGTGCAGAAGGTGGCCATTCAGCCCACAATCCCTGCACCGGAAGACAAGCATCATCGCCTACAACCTATTCCTGCTTTATTCCCCCATACTCCTGCATACAATTTCTATCAAACCTAATGCCCTCTGGAATGCTTCAACTGAACCTGCCTGCACAACTGCAAGCTGTACCCTGGATTTCTTATTTGTGTTTTCTGCTTTATTTATATTTCTGACATCAGCCAGACTCTTTTGGTGGCTCTCTCATCTCTGAATCACAAAGTTCCTGGTTTTAGACCACTTCAGGGTTTTGAAAACAAAAATCTAGACTGACACACACGTCTAGTATTGAAAGAGTGCTGCACTGTTGGAGGTGTCAAATTTTGGATGAATCATTGCACTGAGGCCCTCGCTGCCTAATTGTAGAGAGGAAACAGAATGGGACTAATTTAGCAGCGAGGCTGAGAAATAGCTGAATGACCTAAACGTAGATTGTTGATGACCGTTTGAGCATGGGTACATTTATCAGATGTTCCAACATACATAAACTTAAACTCATTCAGAACAATAGAGCCCTGCATTCTCTTCTCCAAAAAGTCTAGGTTTTTTAAATTATCCTTTGCTTGCTGCCTTAAGGTTCCACATCGTTTGGCATTAATCTCATTGACTTCTCTCACTCTTCATTTTTCTACTCAGGTATGTGGAGATTTCCCTTTCCATCTGCCTCAACTGTAGTGTTGAGCTCCCTCAATTTCTAGAACACTGTCAAAAAAATGTTGCTACATCCACGGGCCGCCTTTAAAAGCCTCTTGAAACTTTCCTCTTTAATCACTACTTCAGCAATCTCCGCTTATCTCCATCCTACTCTGGTCCAGCACTGGATTTTGAATTGCAATCATAGTTTACTATGATACAAGGTCCAGTATATAAATGAAAACCGAAAGAACTGCGGATGCTGTAAATCAGAAACAAAAACAGAAATTGCTAGAAAAGTTCAGCAGGTCAGGCAGCACCTATGGAGAGAAATTAGTGTCAGCATTTCGGGTCAAGTGACCCTTCCTCAGTTCTGGTACATAAATGTATTGGATTTGAGTACAGAACCAGAGGATGAAACATCAAAATGAACATGTCAAGGAAGTTAGAAAAACAACAATGTAAATGATCAGAAACAAAATTTTAAAAATACCAGATTAGGTGATTAAAAATTTTGGTTAAGTAGATTCCATGATGGATTGCATACAATGTGGGAACAGTTAGTTGAATGAGTCAAATAGCAGTGCCTTCTTCTATTTTTGTATTCTTATTTGTGAATGTACAGGTATCTTATGAATATTTGTAAGTATTAATTTGCATTTTAAACAAAGTAAATTTTAACCTACTTCCTCCTTCATGCATCAATTGATTTGACTGAGTGTTAATTTTAGCTTTTGACTTGGGGACGAGGTGGAGCACGTTGTTAAGTATTTCATCTACTGAATACAAGTTTGAATGCATTCCAGAGAGGGTGACTGTAGCTTTCTGTATTTCCTGTAGAATGGCATTTAATAGAATGCCATTTCATACAATTCCATCCGTCAAAACTATTATAAATACACAAATGTAGATAATTCCATCACAAAATGTGAGGATAGCAGGGAAGAGGAAACACAAGTGTGGTTTTGGTCAGCCATCTGCAGTTCTGATGAGTTTGTTGTTCAGGGAGGGAAATGCAAAAGACTTTGCCAAAAGGAAAAAGCAAATGATCTAAGATAGAAGAATGGTCAATTCGGTATCATTCCAACATGATTATGCACATGTAAGATAATTATAATAAATGCAATACTCAAAAAACTAATTTTAAAAACTAGATTTTTAGTTTAAGATGCTGAAAAAAACACACCTCATATGGACCATACTGCATGGAGCGTCTGTGGAAATACTCAACTGCTTCCTAGGTTTCTCCAGGAATACTGGGGACAGTTCTTGTGACCGTCACTTGGGCTATGGC